GAAACTCAACATATCTCCAATTTAACCCCTTAAGTGTAGCGCTGTATCCTGGCATGCTGTCCTTTTAACTTTCCTAATTGGGGTTGGAGCCTTCTGGAGTCTTTAACCCTCCCTCATTGCCCTTTGATGTATCATTGTATACCATGTGTAAAACCATGTTTAGTGTGTAGTGCATTTATGCATAGATACCGATACACCATTTTGGGGAATGTTGCTAACTTTGTGTGTGAGCTTCTGTGTTGGTTATACACATTTGTATGTATTTTGTGTTTTTGTTCCTAAGAAAATAATAAAAACTATTAAACAAAAAAACATTGGTCCTACTTTATTTGTTTGCAGTAGTGTGCAGCCCAACACACCTTTGTGCGTTGTGGTGCGATATAAGGCAACTACATTTTGGAGGTGTGTTACCATTCAAAATGAATTTAAAATGAATGGTGACACAACATAATGTTGTGGGGGCCAGGGGTGTCGGCGGGCATGGCGCAGGGTATAGGTTTTTCCTTGCGTTGCATTGGTACACGCATGTGCGCGTGCACGTGACGTTGCCATGACCTATTAGTCAATTCGGGTGCTGGTCATTAACAGGGGGGGGCCTTGTTCACACACCTTACTCTCCTCGCCATCCCATTGGCTCCCGTGGGTTCGAAGCCTCCTCGTTGCTCTGACAACGGGGGCATTTCTGATCCTTGCTGGGTTTATATTCCAGCCAGAGACCAGACTTGTTGCTGAGTTATTCTGCATGTATCCAGTGCAGCTACGAAGCGTTACTTCCTTTATCCTGTTCCTGCTTTCCTTCCCTGCTCTTCGGATTCCCTGGCTATTGACCCCCGGCTTAATTCTTCGTTTTTTGATACTTGCTGCCTGTCTCGACCCGGACCATATTCTGATGACGATTTCTGGATTCTCCATATTGTACCTTCATCCTGGACTTGCATCCCAGTGCTGTTCTCTGCTAATGGGTTCCAATCTAGCATACAGGGGTACTCCGTCCCCCGACACATACTAAGATGTGCATGGTGAGATGTAACACAGCCGCATTCTTGATGTATGTTGGGGTGCCATTTAAAATGAATGTAAAATGAATGGTGTCACAACATACTAAGATGTGCATTGTGCGATGTAACACAGACGCATTCTGGAGGTGCGTTGGGGTGCCATTCATAATCATTTTGAAATCAATAGTACAGCAACCTAGTAATGCATGCATGGCCTGAAGGGGACCATGTACTTTTACTTTTTATAACTTTTTTTAGTTCAATCTAATTTTATTGATTTACATAAGAAAAAAGTTAAAGCATACAATTAGGACGATACTCAAATTGAGTCATGTACCCAGCATTGCATATCAGCATATAGGAACATAAGTTGTCATGAGACTAACGATTACATGGCAGCAATAGTATGAACATACAAACATTACATGACAGCAAATAGTACAAACATATAAGTTTAGGCAGGAGTATGATGATCCATATACAAAAAAATGCAAAGTCCACCTAGCATAATTAACATGAAAATCAGAACAATCTGTGAACTGGGTATGAGAATACAGTGGAATAGGAGCGATGAGCGAGATATAGGACACAAGGAAATATTAGCATTTGTAAAATTAGACCAAATATTCTGTTTCACTTGCGAATTTTGGGAGCAACTATGAAACTTAAGTGTTACGCTTAAAACAGAAGTCCAGTTTTGAAAGAAAGTTAAAAATTAACTTTACCAAAACTTGTGAACACAAAAAAGCAGCTTTGCTGCAACACCTACATCCAGCCCTGTCCCCCATAAATGTTTGCCTCTGTCCGCTTCCTGTTACTGCTCTTTTGGGCTGGTTGAAAGCCAGAATTGTTTAACCCACTTCCTGTGAGCCTAGGTTGTCATGGACCCACCCCTTGGCCTGGGTTCAAAGAAGGATGTTGCAGAAAATGGCCCTGATATCACTGCATAAGCGTGGTTCTCTGCAACCTTTGGGTTGCAAAAAGGAATATATACAAAAATTATTAATAAACTTAAAAATGAGAGCGCTTCATCCAACAAACTACAACTGAAATGAATTATGAAGTTATTATCTAACTTTTACCACTAGATGGTAGTACTTTCCACATTATTAGCAATGAGTCCGCCCTATGTGTAAGCCTTGCCACACATGAGCACAAACCTCCCCATTAACAATGGTCAGGGAGATATGCACCTGTCCTTGAATGAGATACAAGACTGGCATGACCTGCCACAATCCTCACAATGCAATGCTTTGGGTCTTACATTGGAAAGAGTGGACTTTGCATTACTTTAAAGTGACATTAAACCCTCAGATTTTTTAACATAAACCAATACTGTAATGTGTGCCTTACTGTAATCCATGGTTATTTCCCTTCTCTTTGCTGCTCTTCCTTTTAAATCCTCATGTCTTCTCATGCTTGGTGAGAACTTCCCTTTTCAGCTCAGGGCCTCTTCCTGTAGTGCTGGCTCAGGTTACAAGCCTATAGAAACGTATACACAGACACCGTGTATCTATTCCTGAGACAAGGCAGTCTGCTGCAAAACAGAAGTTCTGCCCAGCATGAGAACAGATTACAGATTTTCCTGTAGTGCTGGCTCAGGTTACAAGCCTATAGAAACGTATACACAGACACCGTGTATCTATTCCTGGGACAAGGCAGTCTGCTGCAAAACAGACGTTCTGCAGAGCATGAGAACAGATACGGATTTAAAAGGAAGAGCAGCAAAGAGAAGGGAAACAACTATGGATTACAGTAAGTCACACATTACAGTATTGGTTTATGTTAAAAAATCTGAGGGTTTAATGTCACTTTAAGTGACCCTGATACTGGTACATCCGGCCTGTGCAAATCAATTACAAGCTGTGGCTCTACACTGCTAAACGAGGCTCTGAGCGTTTACTTGCTTACAGGTACGGTACAGGTATGTCTCTGGGTGCAGACTGTCTATGTCCAGAGGGGTACATAGGGTTGCCACCTGTCCAGGATTCACCCGGACAGTCCGGGTTTTGAATGCTGTGTCCGGGTTTCATGGCAGCAGAAACCCGGACATAAGATATCAGGCAGACAGGGGCAACCAAAACTAAGATAGGGGCTACTGGCCCCCTACTGAAAATAGCCTCAGCTTTGATATTCACATATGAATGGGTGGTGCTACTTACATATGAATAAGCCACGACTCATTCTTCCAAGAAAAAAATGTCCACGCGTCGCTAGAGTGTTCGGGTTTCACTTGAATAAAGGGTGGCAACCCTAGGGGTACATCTGTACCTGTATGCACATATGGGGTGGGCTGTATGCAACATTTGTGGTTCCCGGGCACAGTGATATGAATGCGCCTATGTGAATGAATCCTAAGGCAGCCCATTTATTTTCAGTGGGCTAGCAATGCACCAAAATGCATTTTGTAAAGAACAAGCACTTTTTAAAATGCAGAGCGCCACAACACACAGATAGTGTGTTGGGACCTAATACTTGTCTGACTCCCTGCAAGCCTGACCCTTATTCTCTTAAAGAGCTAAGTTTGCTGAAAAATCCTCAACATCTGTCATTCTTTGGGGTGTGTTGGATGCCTGGTACCCTGCTGCCTGCTGTGGTTTCTTCCTCCACCCCCTACATCACTACAAAACATAATAGTGATGTAGAGTCTGGCAGGAAGAACCACAGCTCAAGGTAGGGGACTCTAGGCATCCCACAAACTAGATATTTCAGCAAGCTGAGCTCTTTAAGACAGCAAAGATTAATGGTGCTGGTAGTCTTTTTGTTTGAAGGGCTTTTATTTTGTTTGCTTTTAAACAAAAGTGGTGACAGGGCAATTTAGTACACTGGCAACATGTGAAGGCAATAAAAGGGTAATGGGGGTGCCTAATATTTGTAATCATAATAATTATATTATAAATATGCCAAAGGTCTACTTTGCAAGTTATAAGGTTATTCCACTAACATGAAGGAGCCTATGCACTCCTTCCTTGGTAGAATGTATATATTTATTTAAACAGGGGAACTTCCACCCCCCGGCCCCCTAACCTGGCTTTGGCCGCAAGGCTTGCCATGTCTTGCACTGGCACTTATTTATTACACAAGCACTTTTACTCCACAAAGAGGGTCAGGATTTTTTGGAGGCCCGTCCCGATGCCTGGGGTGAGGTTCTGTGGCCTTCAAGTTGTTTGCGTTTCCCCACAGCGGGTCTTTCTTTTAGAGAGCTGTCACCAAGTACTTGGTGGACTGGCTTTGGGATTCTTTTTGGATGAGGACCATAGCACCCTTGTGCTTGTACTCTTTATTTGTGTGGTGTGATTTCGCACCTCACTTTATTGTTGACAGGGGTTTGTCAGCTCACATGGACAGCAACAAAAATTGTAAATAAGGGCTCATTCACAATTGCATTTGTGAATTTCTCTGTGACACTCATGTGAATAGCTGTGGGTGGGAAGAACCACACAAAACAATGACTGATGACGGGGCCTGCAGCTGTTAATGGCCAATAGCATGTAACTGGACTTGCTGTGATTACCTGTGGATGATTACCTCTGAATGCAAACTGTTTGCATGGGGAGGAAATCATCCGCAGGTAATCGCTGGATGTCCGATTACATGCAAACAGCGGTGGGCGCTGTCAGCTGTCATTGCTTTGTGTAGCACTTCCTGCAGCTATTCGCAGGAGTCACACGGAGATATTCATGAGACTGCCCCAAACACAAGTGTGAATGGGGTCTAAGAAGACAGAACAAAAGTGCCAAAAAGCTTGAAGACAGCAAAGAGGAAAAAGTAAAAATAAACATGAGTACCTAGAGTTAAGGACAATAATGTAAATGAAAAGCTAGTAAAATATTGTCCTAAACAAAAAAAAACTAAGCCCAAAGAAGCTTAATAACCTAGTAAAAAAAATAAATAACTGGGCCCTTTTCCCAGGCCTCAACATGGCGTCGCGATTAGCTTGCCCTGCTTCCGGGTTTGCGTGGTGACGCCGTCAAACTGTTGCTGTAGGGAATCACGTGAGGCGATAAGTGACGCCCACTGAGAAAATCTCTCCGGCCCCTTTGCTGAGCTGGTGGTGCAGCTCTGTCAGCCGGTGTGACGGTGTGAAGGGACAGGAGCAGGCATGGCGGGCCGGGTGAGTGACGGTGTCACCTCAAAACCTTCTCTGTATGACAGGAGCACACAAGACCTCTCCGCCATGACAGGAGAGCTATGAGGAATGATGTGTTGTGGCTGTGTGTGCGCGCAGAGCGCTCTCCCTCAATATATGTATACACTTGTCTGTCTGTCAGTCATTCAGTACAGACATTGGTGCTTATAGTGTGTGGCCTTGCTTTCGTCCTTCGGTGCCACGACTTGATGGCCGTCCTTCGGTGCCACGACTTGATGGCCGTCCTTCGGTGCCACGACTTGGTCCCCGTCCTTCTATACTTGATCTTGTCACCTTTAATGTGAATGAATTGTGAAGGAAATCATGTGATTGTGAGATCTGGCACCATCCTTCATATGACGTCATTGCGAGGAGGTTGGATGCTGAGCTCTGTGTCTGGGTACCTGAAGGGAGGGGGGTGTTTATGTGGTGATGGAGATGAATAGATGATGTTCCGTGTGTGTTATTGTTCAGGTTTAGCTGCAGTCATGTGACATGTCATGTGTGCTCTGTGATGTGTTTGTGGCAGGCTGTGTGTCTGTAGTATGGAGCTGGGTGACGGGAAGCACAGCTCCTCCTTGGCACGGTTGGAATTATTGCTGCTCCGTGATTTATATTCCATTAATATTCTATGCTGTGCGTTGCCTTCTTCCTTCCCTTGTGGGAGATGCCAGCATCTAAATTAGTCAATTTTTCCGCTGGCTGTGAGAACGAGATGTTGGCTTCTTCCCGAGGAGATTTCTTCTCAGGGCCAGGCTCATCGTTGGTTTTGTTGTGGGGATTGTGTCATGATTTGATTTCTGTTCACTGTCCGGTAGCAGCAATGCGGATGGGTGTTAGGAGCACAGTGTGGCTGCTATTTAATTCAGCAGAAGTTAAGCTGGCCCCCCAAATTTAGACTGATTGTCCTAACATGGTTTAAATACAAGCTGCGTGTGGCCCTGCTGGCACCACCCGGTTTGACAAAATCGATTTTTCAACCGATTTTGTCATAGGAGCTGGGAATTGTCAGCTGAATGTTGACTGCAGCCAATCAGCTGTTTAGCGTGGATGGAGAAATCTATTGGATTTCTTTTATTCAGACAATCTATGCATGTATGTTCTGCTTAAGATTCAGTAACCTGTAGCCAGGGCTTGACAAATCCCAGGAGCCAGGTCGCCAATGCTCCTTCTTAATTATAGCTCCCACCTACATTTTGAGTTTTTTTTTTCTAGTTGCTGTCAATGAAAATAAAATCCTGCTGGCTTCTGGATTGGACAGGCTGGCAAATACATCACACCCCTATGCATGTTGTGCGCTGCGGTGTGGCATGCACTGCACTCCCCTGTACAGTACCAGTGAACATGGAGCAGGTAGATTGGCATGCATCGTGATAACATGCATTAACGCAGCACAAAAGTCTGAATAGGCCTTTGACTGCCCTTAACTTATGAATAGTAATGAGCCTGTGCTTGGTGAAAACCCAGCTCTCCTATCGAGATGTCCAACTTGTCGACATCACCAACTCCCATCTGTGCACCGGCGCTGCCACCCAAGAGCAGTATCACGTTCTCTAATTTGCGTTAGTGCGCCTCCACGGGTACCCGATGGCACAAGCACTGGCGCCAGTTGGAGAACTCGACGAGGACAGGCACACTTACGGCAATTGTGGAAGTCGACGAGGCTTGTAAAAATGCCAGGGCTGGCGCACGTGCTAGTGCCATCTTGTGGATATCGCCAACGGCTGGCTCCTAAACAAAAATCCTGCTGGCTTCTGGATTGGACAGACTTGTTCCTGAATTCCGTATTCATTTGTCCCCCTCCCCATCTGTAATCCTTCCAAGCCTCTGGGCGACTCCATGTTCTCACTTCCTTGCAATCGTATTTACTAGTGTTCTTCATTGGTGTTAATCAGAATCTCCTTCCCTTATCTTTGTGTTACTGATACCATGAATAGATCCGGCAATGCACGGTTTGATTGTATAGAACCTCCGGCAATGCACGGTTTGATTGTATAGAAACCTCCGGCAATGCACGGTTTGATTGTATATGGACTGTACACAGATGTTAAAAATTCAATAAAACCTTAATGCAAAACAAAGGTAGAGGTAGCAATAAATGACATGGGTAGAAATATTAATTTTAAGCAAAAGAGGAGTGTTATTGATGTAGTTGACCTGGTGAATAAAAAACGGCCTGCCAGACGGGCCCATCTTCACGTTGGCTGCATATCCCACCTCAACCTAACCACTGAACCATCACGTTCTCAAACAATTCTTCCCCACACAGCTACCTACTCATGCATCACTTCTCCCTCCTCTTTCAGATTGTAAGCCCTCAGGGGTAGGGCCCTCCTTACTGTCTTGTCTTGAATTGTAATGTCTTCCTTATATTGTAAAGCGCAGCGCACAACGGTTGGTGCTGTATAAATACTATGTAATAATAATATAATACATCTTTGTAATAAACCTAAAAACTAAAAATAAAGGTCTCCTTGCAAAGAAGAACTTGGATATTTAGCTCCCCTGTTCCTCAGATTGCTGCATTAGTAAGGAGACATTGTCTGCTGAATAACCTTCAGAAACTGACCAGGAGTGTTAGATCTCTATTCCCCGCTGCTCTGTGGTTAGAAATGCTGGTCCCCGTGTCCTTTAGTGACATGGTGGTCAGTGTAAGGAACAACACAATACTGGAAAGGAGATCAATACGACTGGAAGTGTCCATTTCTGAAGGTTTCTCAGTGGACGGTTTGTCCTTTCTACTGCCCTTATGTAATGGACCTTAATGGACGTGTGGTGCATTATGGGTGCCATTCATAATGCATCACATTACAGAGCATTACAAATGGCATTGATCATTTTGAATGGCACCCCAATGCACTACTAAAGTAGCAGGCAATGCAGTTGCACTAGAGTGTGCATGCTGTGCGTTGCGCTACGCTGGGTTAAAACAAGGGTTATGCTGTGTTTAGGTGTCAGAATGAATGGGCTGCTTTAACACAGCATGCCATAAAGCACAATGATGCACTAACACAACGTATACTGTGAATGGGCCCTAAATTATGTGTATACAGATTGCAGTGAAGGAACTCGTCAGGTACATCATCGCTGTGCTGTACAAAACCTGCAGATTACCAAGAGCTATAGAGGACAACAAATCCCAGCAAAACATTATACAGCAATGCAGAATATCACCCGCTATAGAGGAATATAGTAAATTATAGCTGGCGGTATTATGCATTGTGCTGTATAATGTATTGCTGGGTGTTGTAGTCCTCTATAGCTAGTGGTATTCGGCATTGCACCGCTGTATAATGTACTATTGCTGGGATTTGTAGTCCTCTATACAGCGCAATGCAGAATACCACCAGCTATATAAAAATACAACAAATCCCAGCCATACATTATACATACATAGTGTATAATGTATGTGACAACTTTTTCAATAATCGATTATGTCGATTAGTTGTTGCAGCCCTAATTCAAGTAAGACTCTTTTAGTTAGACAATATGTGCTAATGCTGGAGTTCAGATTTAAGTATCCATATCTTGATACAGCACCAGCTAAAATGTCCATGAAATATACATTTATAATAGTTTAAAATAACTCCACTTGAAGTGACCCTGTCACATAAAAAATATATATAGTTGTATTTAGGGCTGCAACAACTAATCGATTTTTTAAAATAATCGTTAGCTGCAGCTCTAGTTGTATTGGAAGGTCCCTGCATAGAAGGGGTATTATGCTCACCTCTCTGGTGCCCTGCACCAGCAGAAATGACGTGTGCTCAGGCAGAGCCATTGATTGGTGGAAAGCAGCGACGTGACCATCCCCACCACCAGCCACAGCTTTCTCAAGATGGTGAGACTGCAGCTACAACCAAGCTAAGGATATTTTCTGAAACCTTTCCTCCGATACATCCCGGGAGTCCTGAGAATTACTATATTTATTTTTACTTTTTAGAAAGCTTAGTATTACCTTCTTTCTTGGGTCAAAAAAAGCCAGCTCTGTCACCGTCTCCTTCCTAAGCCTCGTCATTGGCCAGTAAGTCCCCTTATCTAAGTAATGGGACCAGTATTACGTTTTAGGAAGGGGTTAGCAGCCTGGCCAGGTGTTTCACCTAGGACATTAGGTTTATATTTGCTGACCAGTTATGCCCGGGAATCGGGCCACCATAGCCAAAGAAAAAGTGACCTGATGCACTCACTGTTTCATGTCGGCAGCAATTCAGGTAGTTGTGGATTACTTTAGGTTTCTTTAAAAAGTACACAATATTACCTTTTATGAATCTTGTTTAAAGCTTACTTATGAATTGATTTATCATCTGCTGTTTTTTTGGCAGCATAAGTGGTCTAACATTACTTTACCAACTATCCTTGCCGTAAAAGATCTCTGAAGGCCTATTCATTGTTTAAGATGCATTCTGAACACCTAAGTACTTATAACCAGGTAGGCGGAATTGACGCACTTGTTTGTACAGTAGGGATGCCGTTCATTTGTCTGGGTTATTTGTGAAGACATGGCAGATTTATATATTTTCTTTCACTTGTTTGGCTCGTTAACTCTTAAAACATGCTGGGGGAATTTATTAAAACGGGAACAGACAAAATGTGGAGCAGATAAAATGTGGAGAAAATGTGATGACTGAGGGAGTGGAGGAGAGGAGGGTCTTTTAAGCAGATTAAGTGACGTGTTTCCTGTGTGTGGGGGAGGAGATTCCATCTCGTGATGCTGTCCTGGAAGACTAATGGAAATAGAGTTACCGGTAAGTCCTAACTCTGAATTTTAGTAGTTTTTTTTTTATAACTAATCGATTAGTTGAGAAAATAATCGGGTAACTAATTGATTATGAAAATAGTTAGCTGCAGCCCTAGACTCAAGGTTTCCCAACAGAACATTGGCGAAAGCATCATACTGCCTCCTCCGGCTTGTCTTCCTCACTTAGTCCATTCTGGTAAATCTCTTCCCCCAGGTAAGCGACACACAAACACTCGGCCATCCATAT